ATTCAGTTCAGCTCAAATGTAGATTTAATTTTTTTACAGCAGGAAATTCAGTCAAATTAAATTCCCTGAACAATAATTTAGTAAATTGCTGCTTTTAGAAGTTTCCGCTTTTAAATGATTTTGATGGTAGGCACCAACAGGTTTGATTTGAAATCTTTTTAAAATAGTATTTCAGACCAATCTGCCTTTATAACATATAAAACAACCACTTCACTTTGTTCACCTTAATATTCATAGACTAACTTTCATGAATCATGTTGAAAATGTGAAACAAACTTCCACATCCGTGTTTCTGTTCAAACCTCACAGATATTTGTTGGGTTTTCTCTTAAAGGATGTGCAAACATTCATTTCAGCATTATTACTTTAAAACAGCTGTGTTCAACCGTGGTGCTCGAGGACCACCATCCTTATAATTTAGAGATTTCTCCTCTTCAACACACCTGATTTGAATATAGGCTTCTGTGGAGCCTGAAGAGGTGATTCAGTCATTGAATCAGGTGTGTTGAAGGAAGGAAACAAGTAAAACATGCAGAAAACCCCGACACTAAAATAGTGTTCTTACAAGAAGTTCTTGCAAAACCAGTGGGAGTGTGAGGTCCTCGTTGGTAATGATGAAACATAGCTCATCCTGACACAAAATAAAGTGTTTGGAGCTGCAGTTTCCATATTTAGTGTGAAACTTTGTAGATCTCAAAAGAACATTAGTTTTATTTATTTTACTTATCCTTGTAGATTTGAAACTTATCAGTTAAAATCAATAAAAACAACTTTCTTTTTTTAGTTTTAAGGAAAGTGTGTGTGTGTGTGTGTGTGTGTGTGTGTGTGTGTATGTATGTAAACAGATTTGCCTCAATATTTGGCAAGAAACCAGACAATTTTGTCTGTTTCCCATCCTTAATTAATGAATAATAAACACTTATTAACGATTTAAAAATCGTCTACAGATGAATTAATAACCGATCTACACATAAGCCATCTATAAGGGGAACCTTATTGTAAAGTGGTACCCATTACATTATATATTACTGTAAATCAAACATTCATGACACACAGAAGTTATATTATTATAGCTTTACTTTTAGTGGCATGCATATAAGGAAATTATATCTTCTATTTTAAATAATTTGGACAGAATATGTTTAAATAATGTTTTACAGGTTGCTTAAGATTTTACTTGACATTGTGCGCATTGTCTCTGTTCCCGCAGATATTCGAGAAACAGCATTTGTCTACGCCATCACAGCGGCTGGCGTGACGCACGCTGTGACCCAGGCCTGCAGCATGGGAGACCTCCTGCAGTGCGGCTGCGAAGCCACCAGGAATAAAGCCCCTCCAAGGCCGCCATCTCCATCTGCTTCTGGGGACGGCGTAAAGTGGGAGTGGGGAGGCTGCGGAGACGACGTGGAGTTTGGTTACGAAAAGTCCAAACAGTTTATGGACGCCAAGAGGAGAAGAGGCAGAAGTGATATAAGGACACTCATTAATCTTCACAATAATGAGGCTGGAAGGCTGGTAAGAAACATTTCCCTACCTCTCTCTGTATTCATTGCAAATAAGACAAAAAAAACTCTCCTTGTTTAAATATTAAAACTTCAGTTATCTTACACTCAAAAAACAGATTGTTGGGTTTAGTTAACCAACACTGAGATGCATAAATCTAAAACATTTACTTTTTAAATAAAATGTAAAATTTGTTTTATAGTTACTCAACTCAGTTGAGTTGAAATTGTTGACATAACCTGGTTAACTAAATCCAACCATCTGTTTTTTTAGTGTACTTGGTCATTTTTTATTAGCATTACTAGCGGATTCAGTCTCATATTTTATAAAAAACATCATCTTATAGATCCCATGCTCATCCAAATCYGTCATGTTTGTTGACTTTCACAAACAGCCTGTTGTAGGTCAGTCTTGTGACTCAAAATTTCATGTGATTTTTAGAGGATTCAGCTTTGTTTACACTAAGTGTGGACCCGCATTTCCGAATTGCCTTCACAATATTTGAAAACCTACTCCAGCAAAWTATTTTAAGCTGCATCATTTGATATATTTCAGATATGATATGAACTTTTTACGTTTGATTAKACACCTTATGAACACCTATAAATTAAAATAACTTATTTAAAAATAATGGTTTGCTCCAACTGTGTTTCAGCTTGTATATTAGAAAGTTGTTGCTTGTTCTTTGGATCTATTCCTTCATTCCATCTTCATGAAAAATAACAAGATTTTGCCTTTAGCTATATTTGTGCAGCACMGTAAACTGATATTCTTACAAGAATGGGATTTCTAAAGAAAAAAGAAAGCAAGAGCGTGCCACATATTCTGTTTTTAAAGCCTTCAGGGCAGGTAGTTTTTAAGAATTTTAACCTCACATTTGTTGTCAAAATTTAATAAATGCTTGCAACAATTAATAAATAATGATTAAGACATATTAAAAAAAGATAGATCTTCGAATCACATTTAATTTTATTTTCCTGAATATCCTTTTGTGTCTTAACTTGTTACGGTAGACTTGCAGAGCTGTTGCACAACAATCAGTTATTGAGTTCATTTTAGCTCGGGTCAAAGGAAGGTGGAAAGGAAAGGAGGAGAGGAGGATTTTTGGGATGCAGTCCAATTGTAGCATTAGTGACAAACGATTTTAAATGCCACAAAAAAAAAAAAAAGCATTCAAACTCCCAGAGGCTGAAAAAAAAAGAAAAAAGAAAAAGAAACGTGCTACGATGTGTTCGCATTTCTGTTTGTGTGCATGCATGCATGTGCACTTCTGCTCCCGGTTTGCTTGTGTGTCTCTCGAAATGGACAGGTGTGTGTGTGTGTTTGTGTGTGGCTGTGTCTGTGATGGGTTAATTATGTGCAGTATAAGTGAATGATCTGTTGTCAAGGCTTGTTAGATGTAGGAAGGCCAGAGGCAACGTGGATGGGAAGGGGGGTTGGGGAAAAATTCCTTCGGAATAGCGTCTGCTTTTATCTTACCTATCTATCAGTTAGTGTTTGTGTGTGCGTGGGCGTGTGCATGTGTGTGATGCATGGCTTTGTCTGCAAAATATTATAAGAACACAATACAGTCTTTTTTTCTTAAGCTAACTTGTCATTTGTTGAAAACATTCCTGCTTCAGTTTGATACAAGTTAAAGTCATGATTTATCTGTTTGATTGATCTTTGTACCTTTTTCTTTTTGTTGTTTTCCACCTCAATGACCTCTCTCACCTCTCTTTYCCCTTCTACCGCCAAACCCTCAACCCACACCACCCTTTTTTTTTCTAAAATTTCCACTGCTAGGCAGTGAAGCTGTACATGCGGACTGAGTGCAAGTGCCACGGCCTGTCGGGCTCGTGCACGCTGCGGACGTGCTGGAAAAAAATGCCTCATTTCCGCGAGGTGGGCGACCGCCTGCTGGACCGCTTCAACGGCGCCTCCAAGGTGATGGGCGGCAACGACGGGAAGACCCTGATCCCCGTCGGCCAGAACATAAAGCCCCCGGATAAGCAGGATCTGATCTACTCGGACGAGTCTCCGGATTTTTGCCTCGCCAATCGAAAAACGGGCTCCCTGGGAACGCGGGGCCGCATGTGCAACAGCACGGCCATGGACATCAGTGGCTGTGATTTGCTGTGCTGCGAGCGCGGCTACCGGGAAGAAACGGTGGTGTTTGAGGAGAACTGCTTGTGCCGTTTCCATTGGTGTTGTGTTGTTCAGTGCAAAAAGTGCTTGGTGCGAAAAGAGCTTAGTCTGTGTCACTGATGAACTGAGTTAAAGACCAGTCAGATTACTTTAAATGCTCTGTTGCTTTTTTTTAGGTTGTTGCTTCAGTCTTGCTGGTGTGAAAGAAGGAAATGATTTATCACTGTTCCATGACACCCCAAAACCATTTGGTAATGCTTTCTTTTACAGTACCCATTTTAGCATGTAATTACATGGTAATAAGATGGTAATAACTTGTAATTACACTATTACCATATAATTACCATGTAATTACATGGTAATAACACTTTTAATTGCATGTAATTATGTAAATACATGATAATAACGTGTAATTACAAGTTATTACCATCTTATTACCATGTAATTACATGCTAAAAAGGGTACTGTAAAAGAAAGTGTTACCAACAATTTTATTTTAGTAAACAAAATGGATTTGTTGCTATGAGTTGAGAACATTTAGCCAAAGACACTCTTTTTCTGAACTACCTATTTTAATTCCTTTCTCTATGACAAAAGGACCAAAGAATGTTTTATTTTACAAAAGAAGAAACTATTTTAAACTTGCTGGCATGTCCCCTCCTTCTACAACCACGTTTTGTGTTGCTCTAAAACAGGTGTCCAGTCCTGGTCCTCAAGGGCCACTATCCTGCATGTTTTAGATGTTTTACTGCTCCAACACACCTGATTTAAGTCGATGGGTTATTATTTGGTTTCTGGAGAACTTGGACAGTTTGGAAAAGTGGCAATTCAGTCATTGAATCAGGTGTGTTGGAGCGACAGAACGAGTAAAACATATGGGATAGTGGTCATCCAAGACAGGACTGGACTCCCGTGTTCTAAAGCCAAAAACTTTTGCAGGTCATTGATTCGCTTGATGTACCTGATTTAATAACAAGGGCCACAGAGGGTATGATAAAACCTTATAAAGACTATATTTTATTATCTGTTATTTAAAGTGTTTTTAAGACATTTTCTTACATTTACAATATGCTGAATGGTAATAAGGAAGATCAAATTATAATGCTTTCTTTCTATTTTGACATGTTTTCATGTAGTTATCATTATCTAACAGCGTTGTTCCATTTGTCATCAGTTGTCACCAATAAAATACAAAACAATACATTGTTATTGTACACAAATATTTAAAAAGTTTGTGAAATTTTTTGGTCTTTGTTATTGCTGCGTAAACCTTGAGCTGAATATAATTTCTAAATAAACAAAGAAGTTTGTTTCTTTCATTTCATTTTTTTTACTGTTTTCTACAACTTGGTCAACACACACACACACACACACATACATACAAAAAGTGAACTGTTGCACTGTCGGTTGTGAGGAAAACTGTCAACACAACCTTTTACAGGTGTTGATTTTGCCTGCTATCAAAGACTCACAATTATGTAAAGACACGATGACAAGACTACTCACGTCCGTCTCACTCGCTTGGACCAGCGACTTCTGCCCGAACCGAACGTCCTGGCAAGGATCTGGGATTGGCACATTTCTCTTGAGCCGAAGGACAAGCATTTATTTCTCCAGCGTAATCTTGGTGTCAAGAAAATATGATATATTTTGTTAATCTGTTTTGATTTACAGGGCTAATGAAATAACGCACTTAGATGTTTTAATGATACCATAAGTGCTTATTTGTGTGTGAGAGTAAAAGATAGGATGTTGAACTATGTGCAGGTTGGTCAGTTTAGTTTGTTTCTATGTGATTATGCTGGTTTTTAAAAGCACAGCTCTCTGCACATCTTTGTCTCCGGATAGAACAACAAGATGTTCTAATAGTTGTTTATGTTAAAGCTATATTTTCCCATTAAGCTATTATTTTAACACTTTATGTACTCAACAATGTACAAGATGTATGCTGAACTTTAACATTAGAGTGCTTCGACTTGTTCTATAAACTGGTTTTGTGTTTGAGAAAGTGTTCAAGTGGTTTCTTATCTTGCCATCAACAGTTCAGTCAGCTCCGTCTGATCTGTAAGACGGTTGTGTGTAACAACTCATCTCTGGTTGTCTTGTTACAGTTTTAAATCATCTGTATGACGACATCAAGAGCCAAAGTCAAAATAAAACTGTTACTGAATATTAGTTATGTTGACATTACATATCAATTATAGATAAATTAGCTGTTTATTTGAATGCTTTTTGATGAAATTCTTCAATTTTAGTTGTGTTCTTATGCTGTTCTATTCTATTATGTATGAATGTATTTCATTGTATTTAACTTAACTATTTTTTAAACATTATCACTGAACTGCAGCTTTTATGGTACTACTTCATTCTGCAAAATATATTTGAGAATTAACTTTCATTTTTTAAATAAAATAGTGAAACCACAATGACATGAGTCTAATAAGATTTATCCAAATCAGTATTCAGATTTTTTTAAATACACTTTCCATCTTCAAGTAATCTCATATA